AGTTTACGTGTCGCGGTGGGTGTCGGCTCCAACACCAGTCTGCAGGGTGTCACCGTGATCGTGGAAAACACTATATCACTAACCAAGATCTTCCTACCTGACAACATACACTTCATGGGGGTGAAGTTAACCCCTGAACTATTATCAGAAAACCAGTTGGAAATTATATCGTAATAGTATTATAGCAATGACCAGTCATCGTCCCAACACTACGCTTAACGACCTAGGGGACATGGAGGGATTCGATCAGCCTGGTGATGAAGGTGGCTCATACATCCTACACTTGAAAGACAACGCGTGTATAGGCGGGCAGCAATGGCCGATCATCTGCCCAAACTCACACTCAGGGACCTAGAGGGATTCGATCAGCCTGGTTCGGAAGACGCGCTGTACGCGTCCTACAATTAATAGGTGGTGTGTACATGCTGATGAGCCTGCCAGACGACTTTATGAGAAATCTACACAACCACTTTATGGAGTCGAATGGTTGCTCAACATAACCCTCACCACACCTTACGTGTCTTTTCATGATGGTAGGTATATCGCTGAAATTAAGAACAGCGGTATCTTGCTCGGGGGTTTCAACCCGGCGGCTATAAACAAATTAAATTTCCCAAATCCCAAATCACCCTGGTTACATGTTAGATCTACCCAGGGCACGGCACAGTTATCGTTTAAGATATACTCTGACCTACCATTTCCTAAGTTTATGCCCCAGGCTCCACATTAATCATAATACTCTTTTTAAAAAACGTCCGTATGAAGTACTCATTGGGCCTTTTATCTGGGGTGAGCATACAACTTGGTCATGTTGGCTTTAACCCTGACTACCATTGTAATATCATTATACGACGGGACTCGAGTGGGGGGTTGCTGCCCCCCTTAATAAGCTCCAAGATATTTAGGGTAGGTAGCCAAGGATTACCTATTGACCTTTCCACTATTCACCTATCTGAGGATGTAGGCCTTATAAACTTCAAGTACGTTGATCGGTTATTAACTGATACCCAATTAAAAAATATTTCCCCAGATATATTATAGGCACGCAGAATGGGGCTATACCCAGTCATAGAGGAAGTAGCGAAGACCCTGGAAACCGTAGACGGGTTCCGCTTGAGGCAGTTATGTGATGTGAAACGTCAACTAGAACAAGACCGCGACACACGTAAAGCACTATGTAAAAAGTACCATAGAGCTTTCAATATCGTGGACGGAGCTGACGCTGCCCTTATGGCAACCAGCATGGGGCTGGGAGCGGCAGGTGTTGGGTTGTTAGCTACCATCGTGGCTGCACCTATAGTGCTAGGCATTGAAATAACAGCTGGGGTGGCAGGGGTGTTAGGGTTGGTGCTTAAGTTTGCATCCCGCAGACTGCATCGTAAGGCATTGAAACACGATGAGATCAGGGTTCTGGCTGAAGCAAAGCTTAACACAGTAAGTGAGCGTATTTCCACTGCACTCACTGACAGTAAGATCTCAGAGGAGGAATTTCGTTCAATCCTCTCTGAACTCACAAAATATAACGAAATGAAACAAGAGATTCGGTCCAAGTCTCGTAAGTCTGCTATCAGCGAGGATGATAAAAAAAAGTACATAGAACAAGGTGTGAAAAAAGCCCGGCAAGCCTTTATTACAAACACCAAAGAGATCATAGGCGATTCACATTAAACTGTTTCATCGAGGTAAACATAGCATAGTTAGACGCAGCCCAGTATTGGATGGGGCAATACCCGTTACTTCCCCCATGCCCCCGGTAGCGCGGCTAGGAGGTGCGTTCGCATCCCCCAACTTTTGTAGTAGGGGTAATGGCAGCAAGAGCTAAGGGTCCGACCAAAGCCTTACTTGTGAAATAAGGCTTTGCAGAGGCTTTGGTTGAAAGTGATCCAGAACCGCTATCGGCCCAAACTTTTTCATAGTAGGGGAAATGGTAGCAAGAGCTAAGGGCCCGACAAAAGCCTTATTTACCAAATAAGGCTTTGCAGAGGCTTTTGTTGAAAGTGATCCAGAACCCCCATTGTATATACTACTCTATGTGGTTAATGGAATTATATCATGTCAGATTTATTGTGTAAATAGCTTTCGTTTTGTGCATGTAATTATTGTGTATATTTTTGTGAACTGTGTATATATTCATTAAATTTGAGACAGTTTTGATGTATAAGAATTTCCTACGGGATAATAAAAATTATATCTTATCTTAATATTAGACGTTAACGGCCGCTCATCCTCAGCACATGGCAGACAGTCTGTCAACATAACCCAATAATTCGAGTTATCTCCCCTTTTCGAGTCCTCGAGTCCTAGAAAATGGACTCGAGTCCAGCTAAACCCGACTCGTCCTCGAGTACTCAAGTACCCGTGGAAGCCCTAAACCCTACACTTCACCCTACTACATCACCAACCCTCCCCTTCACCCTACTACATCACCAACCCTCTCCTTCACCCTACTACATCACCAACCCTCTCCTTCACCATCCAACATCACCAACCCTCCCCTTCACCCTACTACATCACCAACCGTCCCCTTCACCCTACTACATCACCAACCGTCCCCTTCACCCTACTACATCACCAACCCTCCCCTTCACCCTACTACACCACCAACCCTCCCCTTCACCATCCTTCACCACCAACCCGCCATTTCACCCTACTACATCACCAACCCTCCCCTTCAATATCCTACATCACCAACCCTCCCCTTCACCCCACTACATCACAAACCCTCTCCTTCACCCTACTACATCACCAACCCTCTCCTTCTCCTTCACCCTACTACATCACCAACCCTCCCCTTCACCAACCCACATCACCAACCCTCTCCTTCACCCTACTACATCACCAACCCTCCCCTTCACCACCCCACATCACCAACCCTCCAATTTACACACCCCCCCCACACACACACACACACTCATATAACTGTGTAACAAATCCAGTGATACCAATCTGCCCGAGGACCAATCTCCTCAAGAAGCTGCTGCGAACTTTGCACAATACTTCAGAGAGAAGATCGAGAGAATTCACAGCAAGCTAGTAACTTCGGCTTCAACGCTAGATGACAACACATCCACTCCAGGTGACCAGTGTGACGAGTCAACTTCAGCTACCTCGGGCTATTTTGATGAAATACAACCTTTCTCAACTGATGAAATCGAAAAGATCATTAAGCTTCTGCCAGACAAGAGTTGTGAGCTCGATCCTATACCAACTCAATTTGTGAAATCATGCCTGGATGTTCTAGTACTTCCAATAACCAACATCATCAATCTCTCAATATCATCAGGCGAGTTCCCTAAAACTTTTAAACAAGCTCTGGTGAGACCCCTTCTGAAGAAAAAGTAACCTGGACAATAATACTCTGAACAACTACAGACCTGTATCTAATCTTCCGTTCGTCTCCAAGGTGTTAGAGAAGGCTGTTTGTACCCGCCTCTCTGAACATCTGAAGAAACACAAGCTGCTTGACAAACATCAATCTGCATATCGACCAAACCATTCCACTGAAACAGCACTCATAAAAGTCACCAATGACATTCTAACAGAAGCAGACAAAGGAAATGTATCAGCACTGGTTCTTCTAGATTTTTCGGCAGCCTTCGACACTATTGACCATCACATGTTGTTGTCAAGAATGGAAAGTGACCTGAAAGTCAGGGGTACTGCTCTTTCATGGTTCCAATCTTACCTATCAGATCGATCTCAAGTGGTTAAGATTGAGAGCAAAACATCATGTCCCACAGATCTCAGGGAGGGCGTCCCACAAGGTTCCGTGCTAGGACCAGTGCTGTTCTCTGTGTACACTACACCACTGGGAAGAATAGCAGACAAGCACAAAGTCAACCAACATCAATATGCAGATGACAATCGAATCTATTCTTCATTCCCTACCACAGAAGCCCTGCCATCGTTGGACACCCTTTCTGATTCCTGCAATGACATTCAGACATGGATGACTAAAAACCTACTGAAACTTAATGAAAGTAAAACAGAATTCCTGCTTATTGGGTCGAAAACAACACTTTCCAAACTTGACAAGCCATCTCTCCAAATAGGGAATACTGCCATAACTCCAACCCCGAAGGTCAAGAATCTAGGGGTTATTCTCGATGAAAGTCTGAAAATGGACAAGCAGATCTCAAACATCATTAGCACGGCCCATATGCATCTCAGGAACATTGGAAGACTCCGCAACTATCTGAGTGCTGATGCTACTTCAAAACTTGTCCTATCTCTGGTCATGTCCCGGTAGATTACTGCAACAGCCTCCTCACCAACGTCAACAAAGATCAGCTACGTCGCCTTCAAGCCCTCCAAAACACTGCTGCAAGAATCATTACAAAGTCTAAAGTCTTCGATCACATTACTCCAATTCTAAATGATTTACACTGGCTACCAATCACCGGAAGAATTGACTACAAAACTATTGTAATGACGTACAAGTGTCTCAACGGAATGGCCCCTGACTACCTCGCAGAGTTACTGCCCCTGTATCAGCCCTCACGCTCACTGAGATCACAAAACCAAATGCTAGTGACAGTGCCTAACATCAAAACCAACTTTGGCAAAAGGTCGTTCGCTTTCAATGCAGCAATGAAGTGGAACGCGCTACCGCTTGAACTCAAAACCAGCGAGTCACTAACATCTTTTAAGACTGGCCTCAAAACATTTCTTTTCAAGTGTCAATTTCCATCTTAAGCGCACAGAGCATTTATTAGTGAATGATGCGCTATATAAATGCAATTATTATTATTATAACCCATCTGAGCTCCTTCCTGCCCCACCCCTACGCTCCAGCTCAGCATCACACCCCTCTGCCTCACCTCAACATGCTCTCTCACCTCACCTCACCTCAACATGCTCTCTCACCTCACCTCACCATGCTCTTTCACCTCACCTTACCTCACCTGAACATGCTCTCTCACTTTACCTCACCTCAACATCCTCTCTCACCTCATCTCAACATCCTCTCTCACCTCATCTCACTGATGAAAGTTACCTACAAAGTACAGCTTGATGTTGACTTGGTCCTCAAGGGTGGTAACTCTGTGTGAGAACATCACATGGTCCTCGGTGCTGTAAGTCTGTAGACGGAAGGACAACCTCGGAAGGTCCTCTTCATCCTCATGAAACACAACCAACACCTGCAACAATCATTGTCATGTTACACACAACCAACACCTGCAACAATCATTGTCATGTTACACACCTTCAACAATCATTGTCCTGTTACACACCTTCAACAATCATTGTCCTGTTACACACAACCAACACCTGCAACAATCATTGTCCTATTAAACACAACCAACACCTTCAGCAATCATTGTCCTGTTACACATCTTCAGCAATCATTGTCCTGGTACAAACAACCAACACCGGAAACGATCATTGTCTTGTTACTCACCTGCAACAATCATTGTCCTCTTACACACAAACAACACCTGCAACAATCTTTGTCCTGTTACACACCTTCAACAATCATTGTCCTGTTACACACAACCAACACCTGCAATCATTCTCCTGTTACACACAACCAACACCTGCAATCATTCTCCTGTCAACAGGACCCAGTGAATGCATATTGACTCATCCATTCTGAATTGCTACATTATCATATCCTTACCGACCAGGTCCAGCACCAACTGTTCCTCCATTTCCTTGTCTCCCCACCAATACTGTCACAAAACTTGCCAACTGAAACCTTGCACCATCGTAGTGGGCAGGAATATATCAGCAGGCATGTTTTGAGACGAGACAAATAGATGATTAGGATGTTCCCTAGGGACTTAAGTCTTGCATCAAGGTGTCTGATGGTAGTTTATTAGGCCAGTACAACCTTCATAATAAAAGCCTTTTCCACTTAAACACAGACAATAATATACTTCAAGTGTCTGTACACAATGATAAAGCTGAAATTAGAGCTAAGTGATAAAATCCCCTACTTGTTCTGCTGGGTGTCTTGCATTGATGGCAGAGAATATACAGGACTGAGACGGTCCCGGCTTCGTGTCTCACCAGCACAGACTAATTGCCATTTGACTTGTAACATAAAACCAAATCTCACAATTAAATGTCACTCAATGCAACAAGTGTCATTACAGAAATAATCACCCTGAACATCTGTATACTGTCTGCTGAGCCACCTCTCCACAACCAACTCACCACAACCACCTGTATACAACCACCTTTCTCAAACTACCTGTCTCCAACCATCTGTCGACAACCACCTGTCAACAACCACCTCTTAACAACCACTTCTCCACAACCATCTCTCCCCAAAACCCTCTCCACAACCACCTGTATACAACCTACTGTCTCCAACCACCTGTTTCTAACCACCTGTCTTCAACCACCTATCAACAACCACTTACATACAGTACAACCAGAAATTATTGAGAATTTAAGATTGTAACTTTTAAAAAAAATTTCACTCATTACTCACGTATTAAATGTGAATATTAGCAGAACATAACTCCAGATTCAAAGACAGGTGAACAGTTAGTATTTTGTCAAGTCACCATGGGCAGCCATGCAGGCTTCAATGCGGCGGCATACTACTGATCAAAGAAGTTAGAAAGTCGTGGTCCATGCTGTCCCAATATCGTACCACCTCTTCTTTCATTTCAGCAATATTTGTCAGATTTTTCTTATTGACACTTTCCTTCATAAGTCCCCAAACATTTTCTATTGGATTTAGGTCAGGGCTATAGCTTGGCCAATCTAATAATGTCATATTCTGGGTCCAAAACCAGGCTTATGAATGCTTTGAACGACGTTTTGGGCCGTTTTCTGCTGGAAAATCAAAAAATTTCCATAGAACACATGAGCAGATGGAAGTAAATGTCCCTCGAGAATATCTGTGTACCGCTCACTGTTCATATTCCCTTCAAATACACAGAGGGGCGTTGCCCCTAACACAGATATGCCACCCCACACGTTAAATTTCGGACTGTGCTTTGGGCGCTGATACAAAGGTTTTTCAGTTTGTTTGGTCCAGAATTTCAGTGTATTAGGAGGAAACAGCCACACAGAACTTTCATCTGAGAAAATCACATTGTCCCAGTTAAAATTTCTATGCTGTAAGGACCAGTTCAACCTTCGCTCTTTTTGTTCAGGTTTCATGATCGGTGATGGAATTCCTCGAATTTTTTGCCAACCCATTGCATGCAGCTCAGTTCTAATTGTCTCCTTACAGACAGCCACAGTCCCTCTATCAGTATCAATCATATCCAGCCTTAAGTTTTCTAAACTCCTTCGTTTGTTTATAGAAACAAGAATACCAAGCCACCTCCTGTCACTGACTGTCAATTTTCTGGGCCTACCTGCGCCTCCTTGGTGCTCAATGACATATCTATTTGCAATATTTTTCGAAACATGATAAACAGTGGACAAGGGGATGCCTGTTCTACTTGAAATCACTTTAGCTATTCTGATGTCCTTGTTATAATACTCTAAAATCAACTCCCTCTTCTCTAAATCATCCTTACTGAGGATCACTAAAAATGTTGTCTGCTAGCAAGTAAACAAAGGGGGATAACTCTTCACAAACTAATGAAAAAGGATTAACGGAGTTGTCTCTCTTGAATGAAACCAAGCACTTGATAGCTGGCCAAGGTTGTTTATACTAGAAATCCAATTAAACATATTCCTAAAATTCTCAATAATTTCTGGTCATACTATCCAACTACCTCTTCACAACCACCTGTATACAACCTACCGTCTTCAACGACCACCTGTTTCCAACCAACTGTCATCAGCCACCTCTCCACAACCTCAAGTGTACAACCTACTGTCTTCAACAACCACCTCTTTCCAACCACCTGTCTCAAACCACCTGTCCACAACCGTCAGAGTAACATACACTTACACTACACTGTAGTACACAGAGCAGCCTACGCTTACACTACACCTTAGGACACAGAGTAACATACACTTACACTACACCGTAGGACACAGAGTAACATAGACTTACACTACACCATAGGACACAGAGTAACCTACACTTCCACTACATTCTAGTACACAGAGAAACTTACACTTCCACCACACTGTAGGACACAGAGTAACCTGCACTTACACTACACTGTAGGACACAGAGAAACCTACACTTACACTAAACTGTAGTACACAGAGTAACCTACACTTACACTACACTGTAGGACACAAAGTAACCTACACTTACACCACACTGTAGGACACAGAGTAACCTACACTTACACCACACTGTAGGACACAGAGTAACCTACACTTACATCACACTGTAGGACACAGAGTAACCTACACTTACACCACACTGTAGGACACAGAGTAACCTACACTTACACCACACTGTAGGACACAGAGTAACCTACACTTACACTACACTGTAGGACACAGAGTAACCTACACTTACACACTGTCACAGAGTGACACAGAGGACACAGAGTAACCTACACTTACCTACCACACTGTAGTACACAGAGAAACCTACACTTACACCACACTGGAGGACACAGAGTAACCTGCACTTACACTACACTGTAGGACACAGAGAAACCTACACTTACACTAAACTGTAGTACACAGAGTAACCTACACTTACACTACACTGTAGGACACAAAGTAACCTACACTTACACCACACTGTAGGACACAGAGTAACCTACACTTACACCACACTGTAGGACACAGAGTAACCTACACTTACACTCACACTGTAGGACACACAGTAACCTACACTTACACCACACTGTAGGACACAGAGTAACCTACACTTACACCACACTGTAGGACACAGAGTAACCTACACTTACACTTACACCACACTGTAGGACACAGAGTAACCTACACTTACACCACACTGTAGGACACAGAGTAACCTACACTTACACCACACTGTAGGACACAGAGTAACCTACACTTACATCACACTGTAGGACACAGAGTAACCTACACTTACACCACACTGTAGGACACAGAGTAACCTACACTTACACCACACTGTAGGACACAGAGTAACCTACACTTACACCACACACTGTAGGACACAGAGTAACCTACACTTACATCACACTGTAGGACACAGAGTAACCTATACTTACACCACACTGTAGGACACAGAGTAACCTACACTTACACCACACTGTAGGACACAGAGTAACCTACACTTACACCACACTGTAGGACACAGAGTAACCTACACTTACACCACACTGTAGGACACAGAGTAACCTACACTTACACCACACTGTAGGACACAGAGTAACCTACACTTACACCACACTGTAGGACACAGAGTAACCTACACTTACACACACTGTAGGACACAGAGTAACCTACACTTACACCACACTGTAGGACACAGAGTAACCTACACTTACATCACACTGTAGGACACAGAGTAACCTACACTTACACCACACTGTAGGACACAGAGTAACCTACACTTACATCACACTGTAGGACACAGAGTAGCCTACACTTACACCACACTGTAGGACACAGAGTAACCTATACTTACATCAGACCATAGGACACAGAGTAACCTACACTTACACCACACTGTAGGACACAGAGTAACCTACACGGAATCTACACTCCATGACACCTCTACTTCACTGTATGACACAGGACCTCCACAAACTATAACTTACACCTTTCAGTATGACTTCCCTGACTTCCCAGTACTTGATCTATCCTACAATCCTCCAGAAGTGCCTCTGTGAATCACTACCAGCATTGATCTGCCCACACCAACACCACTGCTGTTCACAAATCTTGGCTAAGATTTTTTTCTGCTGAATGACATTTCTGGGCTACAAGGACATGTCAGTGTATCCTCAAAAAGTGAGAAGGAATTTGTCTGATTCAAACAAGAGCAACCCCCATCACAAAAGCAGCAGACATTTCAATTACATCGGTGTCCTTGAAAAACTGTTTCCAATGGAATAATTGCCCCCAGGGATATCTTTACCTTTTCGCTTTTAGAAAAAAGTACTTTTAGTGGTCCTGACACAGAGAGATTTAGAATAACAAAATACAGTCAAATAAGATATAGTCTAAGTCTAATTACCTTTGCCATTGGTCAGTGCTAATTTTTGTTGTTTAACATCTTTAACTTTTCACACTGCACCTTGAGTTTAGGACCATTGCACTAATGATAAAA